CGGGCGGCAGCAGGGCAGGGCCGCAACGGGCCAGTGATGGGCCAGCGACGGGCGGCGACGGGCCAACGACGGGTGACGGCGGGCCGGCGACGGGCGGCGACGGGCCGGGATGGGCCGGCGACGGGCCGGGACGGGCCAAGACGGGCCAGCGACGGGCGGCGAAGGCAGGGCCGCGACAGGGCGGCTGCAGGGCAGGGCCGCAGGAGGCGGCGAAAGCAGGGCCGCGACAGGCGGCGAAGGGCCATCGACGCGCTGCGACGAGCCGGGACGGGCCGGGATGGGCCAGCGACGGGCGGCTAAGGCAGGGCCGCAACGGGCCAGCAAGGCAGGGCCGCGACGGGCGGCACTAGGCAGGGCGCAAGACGGCGCAGGTGAGGCGGGCGCGAGGCGCGCTTCGGGCAGGGCAGGAAAAATTTCGTGGTGGGCCCTAAAAAAAACGTTCCCACGAGGGAACCTGCTCAGAATACCATGTCATAATAGTGAACGAATGAATGACTGAACTAGAAAGCAGGTGGGTACAAGTAGCAAACCTAAAAGTGTTGTACCCTATATGAACTACCCCACCATAGCCTAGATAGACTATAGCATATAAATTTGACACAGCGCCACACTGCCAAATTGCCGGTGTCCGTAAATTTGCTGCCGCTCCATGTACGAACTATTTATTCGTTCGAAACGTTGAATTACGGCTGTCCGAAACCGCGCACACGACCCCTCGCCTAAGATTTCACTACTGTATATCCACTCTATTGCCGGGCCTTGTAACGGTGTCGCTGTGAGCCGAATTCGCATCGCGTCATGTGTCAGGGTCGTGCATCCAATGGCCTCGAAATAAATTTCGAGTGTAGCTATGAATCGACGGGCATCGCTGCCTTGTGCGCTAGGGTCGAACACCTCCGACATACTCGGTTGCGCTGCTCCGAGATTCACTGTAGTTGGTGTCGCTGTCGCAGGTTCAAATGTCGGTGTTGCTGCCGTCGCTGCTGCTATAGCATCGGCGTAGATCTCGGCCTCAACACTCGGCGAGGCAACAGACGACGACTGAGTCGGCCTCCATGAAACATCTCATGTACCAAGGCTGAAGCAGTAGCTGTGAGAGGACCTGCGGGCCTCTTCCCAGTCAGCCCAAGAATCATCGGTGTGAGCGGTGAGTACAAATGATTGGCGTCCTCCATGCACAAGCCTCATGCCTGATGTACTCGCCAGGTAGCGCAGTACCCTCTTAGCGGTCGTCAAGTGGACAGGTTGGTGTCTCCATGTCGCGACAAAGCGAGCAAGGATCATGAGAGGGAACGCGAGGTCTGGACGAGTGCAAGTCATCAGGTATATGAGGCACCCCACCAGCTCTGCGTTCTGACCACTTTGCTCAGCAGGCTCGTCAGGAACAAGAGCCATGAGTCTGGCATGTGTTGAGGAGATTGAAGGCGGAAAATCTCGAGGATTTGCTGCGACATGTGTGACTAAGACAAATTGATGGTGCGCACTACTCTGTTCCTGGTAGTCTACAAGCCAAGGTAGTGGCGCAGCTCACCAAGATCAATGCAAGTGTATCTCCTCAGCATCCCTCTTCTCACCGGTCAGTGCGTCTCTGTCTGGAGTGGCAAAGACCAGGTGTTAGACATGATCAAAACGTAGAAAGGAGTGGTCCCAGAACAAACAAAAAGTGTGAGGTCAGATGAAGATGGGCATAAGTTAAGAGCAGCAAGAGTGGTGTGTAACGTGCCGTACCACTCACAAGGAGCCTCGTGCAGACCATAGACCCGGCCGCCGAAGGCTCCACTGGGTCCTAGGAGGGAAAGATCCAATGAAACCAGGAGGGCGGCGCAGCCAGATCTGCACGTGCAGGCTACCCTGAAGAAAGACATTAGAGAAGGAAAGAGAGTGCAGCTCCTAGTCACGGTGTGTTGCGACGTGCAGGAACACCCAGAGAGTGGTCATCTTTGGGGTGGGGGAGATGGTCTGAAAGAAGTCTACCCCCTCTTGTTGACTAAATCATCTCTGCATCCATGGTTGCTATCCACTAAGAGGCCCACTCTCCCAAGACTGCCTTATTGTAAGTGCGAGGGGTCGGGATGTCGAAGGCGTCTGGGTTGTTAAAGTTAAGCTGGCAGCCATGGCTAGTGAACGGGAAGAAAGTATTATCTCAGCAAGAAGTGTTGAGATACATTTTGGGAAGAAGATTGAAAGCCCTAACAGAACCTAGGTTGCGTTCAGTCAAAGAACAAGCCCCAAAATGAACCTAAGCTGAACCTGAACCGAAAAAGGTCTGAAACTGGCCGAAAACATAATATATGGCCAGAATAACATACAGAGTGTAAGCTAGCCTACTTCAACACACCCCCAGGCTAGGTGAAGCTCCGGAACAGAACACCTAGCGAACTGAAACACCCCCAGAAGTGGCGAGATAAGTGAGACCAAGCGCATGCACATAGAAACAGTGCAACGCACGAAGGAGGGCATTGGTGAAAATGCCAGCAAGTTTGGCGTAAGCGGCCACCTTGCGAAGGCACATGAAGCCAGACTGCACAAGCTCGCGCATGACGAAGTAGCGGACCTCGATGTGTTTGCTGCGAGCGTGATACACAAGATTTTCAGTGAGATGAGTCATGCCCGCACTGTCACAAGCAAGCTTCAAAGAGGGCTGAGAGTGACCCATCTATGCAAGGAGAAAGGACAGCCAGCGAGCCTCCTGAGGTGCCAATGTGCCAGCGTACAGCTCAGCCTCGCAAGTGGAAAGGCAGACAGAGGAGGAACGCGTGGAGCGCCAGCTGATGAGGCCAATGCCAAGAGTGAACCCATATCCCTGAGAAAAGCGGCGATCAGGGCGAGAGTCAGCGTAGAAAGAGTCGCTGTAGCCAGAGAGAACGGGAGGAACAGAGCCACCAAGAGTCAGATCAAGGTCAGAGGTGGCATGGAGATAGCGCAAGACACGCTTGGCAGCCGCCCAGTGCACGTCAGTGTGGCGACCAAGGCTGACAAAACAGAGTTAGAGATAGAAACAAAAACCAGATTGCAGCCATGGCATGCATGCTCTGCACCTCTCACAGGTTGTTTCTTTCAACGGGAGTCGGGAGTTGGCCCCGTCCTTGCTTGGGAGGAGCCGACTTCGTAGTCGGGTGCGCAGGTAGTGCAGCCGTCGGCCTGCAATGGGCGACACCGACTTAGGCGAGCAGGTCGACGAACATGGTCGACCTGCACGGGGCCACTGCAAAGGCGCCGATGACGGGAAGTCGACGGCCGACTTTACTGGAGTGGTCAACGAAGGGCTTCGTCGACCTACGGGTAGCCGACTTCGTGGTCGGCTAAGTTGGCTTAGCTAGCCGACTTGGGGATGAAGTCGGTGTGGTTGGCCAACTTCGAAGGTTAGCCGACTTGGAGGAAGTCGGCTACAACGAAGCCGACTTCGACAAAGCCGGCCAGGGCTGGCGGTCGACGAAGGGACTCGTCGACCTGGGAGGTGACGCCGAATTCAGGAAGCCGGGGGGCAGTCGACGATGTGGGTGGCCGACGACCACGTACAGCAGTTGGCGGGCGCCGAATTGGGGACACCGACTTGGGAGGCTGACCTGGGGAGTGGCCGACTTCGTGAAGTCGGCTGGAGGTCGTCGACTTGGGTGGTCGACGGGCACGTACAGCAGCTGGTCGACACGGGCCACACAAGTCGGCACTGACTTGGTGGTTGCTCGGTTGACCAAGTTATCCAGGCAACGGGGATCTGCGGAGGTGCGCGATCGTCGCTCAGGTGGCTCTGGCAAAGCCGACCTCGGAGGTGGTATCCCAAAGTCGACGTGGTTGATCAGACGCAGCCAACGGCACGTGGTCGGCTTGGCGTCTACGCTGTGCACGTGACGGGGCACATCACGCCAACCAACTGCGAGCACCTGCGAAGTAGGTGCGATGTTGTCATGCGGGTGCAACGCTGTACAGCCGCCCTGCTGCAGCGTTGGCACGCCATCGCCTTGGTGTGTTGGCAAGCCGCATTTTTGCAGCGCTGGCGCGGAGCGGACTTTGCTGCATTGGAACGCGGTCGACCATGCTGTGCTGGAACACGGTCGACCATGCTGCGCTGGAGATCGACATGCTTGCATGCTAAGCAGACTTGCATCGGATGTAGTCCACTTTGCCAACATTGTTGCGATCATTGTTGTGAACTTTTGCTAGTAAAACTCTTACCAAAATTCCCCGTGAATACGCAAGGAGAGAGAGCACAAGTGAACGACTAAGGAACGAACGCTACGATCACTCCTACCCCGTGCCTATCCCGTAGACAAGCTCCCGTTGTACTAGTTATCTCCGCAGTTTCTGGCCCGCCCACCACTCACATCTGTTGCAATGAGGGGCGGTTCGAGGGGCTGGCAAGGTTTAGCAAGGGCTGTGAGGGGCGGTGGGGGGTAGGGGGGCAGAGTGAAAAGTAGCACCAGTTATACACCTCCTCCTACTGCTGCTTCTCTCTGCCCCGCTCCCTCCTGTTGCCGTCGACCATCCGCTCTGCTGCTGTTGCTTCCTGGAGCAGCAGTGGCAACATCAGCAACAGCATAAGTTGTAACAGTAGCTTAAGCCCTAGTAGTAGCAGCGCGGGCCACAGCAGGGCCGGGGTGTCAGGGTTGGGATGTGAGACGCCAAGGGGAAATCCGTAGGTGGATGGCTCAGAGGCAAGGCGTGGGGTTGTTGCTCATGCGAGACGCAAGAGGGTGAGTTTTTTACAGGATTTCATGTCTTCGCATTAGCCGAAGTCGTAGCAGTTGCAGCACGGGTCACACGCGCTAAAAAATATAGAAAGTAAGTCAACTAGTTCTTCAGCATGGTCCAGGAATTCTCAATCCCTTGTTCGCCCCACCTCTCCCATTCACTCTTCTCGTTCTTTCCCCTGAATCTTGTAAGTGCAACCACGCACACTTCCTATAGGAAACTGACTGCCACATCATTTCATTGTTTCTTCCCCGCTCTCTTCTGTCACCTTCCCATCCCCTTTACAGAACGACCCACAACCGGATAAGCTCATGGATGGTGTACATCATCTCGTTGACGACTATGACATTGAAAAGGTTGCGTCAGCCCCTCAGCTCTCTGCTGATGACGTGGCAGCAGGGGATCTGTCGCTGGACTGCAACCGTTTCCTGATTGGCCAAAGCATGTTCAACGACCGAGCGAGCGACCATGAGGAGGGGATCACGTGGCTGCGGTCGGCCATGCGTATTCTGTGGGTGGCTCGGGAGAGGCGTGCTGAGGCTGCTGCAGTTGAGAGGTAGAGGAGACGGGAGAAGTAGGGGACATGAACATTAGGTGAACACTTCATTTTATGATGTGCTGGTTTTGAAACGGTATGTTAAAGGAGTGCTACAAGCATGCTGGATTCAAAACGGTACAGTAAAAGTGCTTCTACGACCGTGCGAGCGACCATGAGGAAAGGATCATGTGGGTGCGGTCAGCCTGCGCCTTCTGTGGGTGGCTCGGGAGAGGCGTGCCGAGACTGATGCAATGGAGAGGTAGAGGAGGCGGGAGAAGTAGGGAATCTGGACAAATGGTGGACACTTCCTTTTCTTGCATATTGGCTTTGAAATGGCACAGTAACAGAAGTGTTACCGTACAAGCATTATGGATTTACAATGGTACAAAAAACAAGTATTTTCTCGACCAAGTGAATGACAGTAAGGGATTACGTGGCTGCCGTCGGCCCCGCACCTGCTGTGGGTGGCTTGGGAGAGGCGTGCGAATGCCTCTGTTGCATGCATGGCGTCATCACTTAATATTTGTTAGCAAAGCTCATGCTTTTGATACGTACCTGATCGGCGGTGCTCCAAGGCTCCTAGCTTCTGGCTGGCACTTGCCCCAAAGGCTTTCTGAATTCTTGCTGCAAAGTTTTAACATAAACTTGCTTGTGCTGCCATGGGGCAGGGGAAAAGCAATCATTTACGTGCTGGCCTTATTGCTATATGTCTTATAAGAATTGTAGGTTCACTGTACAGCGTTACGAGCTTAGGTGTGCAGTGTGGTGCAATGCTGAGTAGGTGAGTCTTTATTCGTCAACTAGTGTCAACCACGAGGTGTCAAAGGTTGTCAAATGCCACCAAGGCAAGAGACCGCGAATCATGGTTCAGTCACGAGCGGTGCGACTTCAAACAAACCTTGCATGCTGAACAATGCATTCCAGCCTCTCCGCCATTTGCTGATTCCAACCACTCTGGCATTCGCTGATTCCAGCCTCCCTTCTATTCGCTGATTCCAGCGTTGCTGCCATTCCCAGCATCCAGACCAAAGATCCTGACTGGCATGGGTGATCAACAAACGTCAGTTTCACGATCAGATGTCCAGAAATTAAGGCCTAACCACATTTGTTCCTCTGGTATGTCAAGTTCACCTTTCCACGAACCTCGACATCCATTTACGATAGCGTACAGTACCCTTGTTCTTGGTTGGGGGACAAGCATCACCAGAGATTAGGAAAAGCTAGTAACATGCTCTTTACTTCAAGTTGAAGGACCAGAGCCAGGATAGTTTCTTCCGACGATGCTCTATACAAGCAGGCGACTCAAGGTCCAAACTCCAACTCCGCGAGAAATTAGAAGCTGAAGACAAAGCTGCCAGCTTGCGCATACATTGCGATATTTCGCGATCTGGTCCATCTGTTTCAACGTTTCCCCCAAAAGTTGTCGCGTGCACGTACAACAAGTTATCCAAGCCGGACGCGCGAGTACTTGCGATAAATGAATACGGGCAGATTACCAAGTAATCTGGCTGTCCCCGCGACGGCCGTGATCGTTACTCTCCTGGGACTCGTTATAATCATGCATGTGCGGCCGTGCTCTGCGGTCCATCATGTAGCACAACCAGGTAGGTTCCCCCAGGGCAAGTCACAACCTCCGCCCTTACCGTGTGTGCCATCAGAGATCAGAGGGCCTCTCCCCCCTCCCCCCCTTCTTAACAGCAGCCGGAAGGCCCGCACGAAGCAGTACATCGTGCATTCCGTGCCATCTAAGAGCTCAGACTCACCAACTCCCTGCTGTTTCCTCCCTGCTTTTCTCTCCCCCCTTCCTCCCCACCTCTATGCTCGGAAGAGCCAACACGAAGCGATGCATTGGTGCCGTCAGTGCTGTCGTTCCTGGGGGGAGCCAAAGGGCTGAGACCCTCCAAATCTCTGCTATTTCTTCCCTGCCTTTCTCCCCTCCCCTCTGCCCCACCCCTTTGCTCCCCTCCATGCCTTTCATAGTCGGAAGGCCCAACACGAAGCAGTACATCGTGCATTTATCGTCGGTGCGGTCAGTGCTGTCATACCGGGGGGGAGTCAATGGGCTGCGGGCCACAGCGACTGTCGACGATGAGGAGGACGAGTATGAGGACGAGGATGACGAGGAGGATAATAACGAGGATTCTCAGGAGGATGGAGATGCTATTGGTGATGGCGATGGTGGCATGGGTGAAAGCAGTGTCAATGGCACTGCACCAGGATCAGCACCAGAAGTTGCAGGAGCAGAAGCAGGGCCAGAAGAAGCAGGCACAGCAGGAGCAGCAGAAGCTGGGGCAGCAACTGCAACAATGGCAGTGGCAGAATCAGAAGTGAAACTGACAGCGTCTGAATCTGGTGATGATGGCTTCGATGCCGATATTCACTTTGCAAGTGCGGCTGCTGCAGAGGCGGCAATGGAGATAGCGGGAGTGGTAACAGGTGCAGGAGCATCAGCAGGAGCGGAGGGGTCGGCTGGGGTAGCAGCAACAGCATTAGCAGGTGGAGGAGGAAGAGGGGTGGGAGGAGGAGGCGGAAGAGGAGCAGTGAGGGTGAGCGCACAGCCGTTTGCAAGAACCGGGGTGGATGCGCTGGTGGAGAGGGTGGGTCAGCGGCTGAGAAAGATGAAATCGCGGTCTGTTGGCCGGCGCCTACTGGCCCGCGTTGCCGCTGCTGCAGTGGCCGCAGCAGCAGAGGAAGCAGCAGTAGCAGCAGCTGCTGCCGGTGCTGCTTCTGTCACAGAACCATTCCATAACACATCCTTTTACCCCTCTGCTGTTTCTGCTACTGTCAGCGCCATTCGTAGCACGCCAGCAGCAGTGCTGACGGTGCAGCAGCTGAGTGCACGTGCCGCTCGCATCATGCGAACAACGCCGTGGGGCCGACTCACGCGACCCGACGTGCGGTTACCACACGTCCAGGCCTTCACCCGCTTCCTGGAAGCTTCTCACCGCAGCCTGCTACAGTCGCTCAAGATCCCATCCTCAGCCATTTTCCATAGGTGAGGAAGAGGGGGGAGGGGGAGGGGGGAGAAGGAGGATTACGGGGAAAGATCCGCGGAGTACGGGGAGTGCGGGCTTGGATAGGGATAAACGGGGAGAGGGGAGAAGGGGAGGGGGGATAGGGATTTTCCACTCCAAGATCCCTTCCTCAGCCATTTTCCACGGGTGGGAGGGGGGATAGGGAGGTGGCGGAGGGGAGGCGGGAAGGAGGGGGCAAAGGGGGGAGGGGTGGTGTGGTTAGAGAGCAGGGATTTATTTGAGTGTCAGCTGTGGAAGTGGATAAATTGATCCAATCAAATGTTTCTTTCGGGCTCTAACCTCGATCGTTTACCACAGGTGGGTTTGGGGAGAGGGGGAAACGACCAGGGTTTACCACTCAAACGGGTGGTCATGCCTTAATTACCCCTTTCCATCGCCTGCTTCCCGCCCACCTTTCCCCCTTCCACCCTCTCCCATTTCCACCCTCTCCCTCTTTCTATCCCTCAGCTACACATATCTGATGAACCGCTTTGCAGCGCAACTGACTGCTTCTGAAGCAAGGCGCCTCAAATTGCACCCAGCAGTGGCAGAGGTGGAGAGAGACCAGATAGTGGAAGTGGCCTCGGTGCACTCCCCTGAGTTCCTCAAGCTTGATTCGAGCCTGTGGCCAGCGAATGGTGGGCAGAGCAATGCGGGAGAGGGAGTGATCATTGGAGTGATCGACTCGGGGATCTGGCCCGAACACCCCTCCTTCTCTGACCCTGTGAGTGCGCCGAGTGACTGACGGCTATGGCTTTAAGATGATAATCGAGGTTTGGACGAGCAACGTTGGAGAGAGAATGATCATCAGATTGATTGACCTGGGGATCTGGCCCGAACACCCCTCCTTTTCTGACAGTGTAAACCCGAATGTTCCATGCTTCTTGACCCTATAAGCCCGAAGATTGTCCTTGGTCTCAAACCAACAGTTTGAGGACTTCCAACCGTTCCAAGCCAACCTCTCCTCTCCTCCTCTCCTCTTCTCCTCTCCTCTCCTCTCCTGTCCTCCTCTCTTCTCCTCCTCTCCTCCTCTCCTCCCTTCTTCTCCTCCTCTCCTCATTTCCTCCTTCTCCTCTTCTCTGCGGAGATTCACTCTACAACTGACAGGCTGGACTGAGTGGGAAGGCACAGGGTTGTATGGGTGATCGATGGGTTCCTTGTGTTCGCTCTACCTGCTTGTTCACGTGGCAAAACGGCAAGAGTTTCACTCAGAATTGAGAGCAACAATGATGCAAGATGGTAATGGAAAAATAGACTACATTAGAAGCCTCACAAGCAAGCAACTCAACCTCTAATGCAGCACAATGGTGGCTTGCCAGCACAACAGATCGGCGGCGTGTCAGCGCAGCTGGGAGGGGGCTTGCCAACGCTACAGGATGGCGACCTGCCAGCGTTGCAACCGCAGGTGCCCATGTGCGAATGTGTACACCTGCCCAGTAGGTGCAGGTCGGCGGTTAAGCACGTCATGCACCGTCACGCACATTGCACAGGTGCTAAGTCGGCCGTGCCGATGGTTGCTCCCAGGTGTGCCACGTCGACCTTGTGGTGCCGCCACGCAAGTCGACTTCGCCGTCCTGGACGACGCTCGCGCACCCCCGAGGAACTTCGTCGACCAGATAACAATGTCGACCATGTGATGCCCTCGGTGCCCACAAGTCGTCGCCTGCAAGTCGAGGAACTCCTTCGTCGACCGCCAACTTCACCTCGTTGGCGACATTGCAGTGGTCCCGCGGAAGTCGACCAAGTCTGTCGGCTTCTGCCCAGAAGTCGGCGTCAACCACTGACAGCAACCGGCTGCAGCTCCAGCACACTCGACTGCGAAGTCGGCTTCACGCAAGCGAGGGCGGGCCAATTTCCCGTCAACACTCTCCTTCTCTCCTCCTCCATTCCTCTTCCCCCAGGACACAAGCGGAGTGGCTTACTCCACTGCCCCGGTGCGTTGGAGAGGCGTGTGCACCAAAACAGACGACTTCACGACGTGCAGCCAGAAGGTGGTTGGAGCGAGGAACTTCTTGAAGGGAGTGGATTGGCCAGCTGAACATCTACGCACCATTTCCTCTCTTCTCTTCCCTGACGCCCGCACCTCCCCTTCTCTCCTCCTCTTCCCCCAGGACACAAGCGGAGTGTCTTACTCCACTGCCCCTGTGCGCTGGAGAGGCGTGTGTAGCACAACAGACGACTTCACTGTGTGCAGCCGCAAGGTGGTTGGAGCGAGGTATTTCCTGAAGGGTGTGGAACGGGCGTTTGGCCAAGTGAACACCATAGACAATTACCGGTCGCCACGGGACATGCAGCAGCACGGCACGTGGTGCGCTGGGTGAGTGCTTGCAACAACAAGGTGGTTGGAGCGAGGTATTTCCTGAAGGGAGCGGAGTGGGCGTTGGCCAGCTGAACAGCATGGACAATCACCAGTCGCTATGGGACATGCTGCAGCACAGCACGACACGTGGTGCGCGGGGTGAGTGAGTGAGACATGCTCTTCTTTTCCCTTCCTAGACACGCTCACCATGCTGCACATGCTGCACATGCTGCAGCACGGCACGAGGTGTGCGAGGTGAGTGGATTGGGCATGTGCAGTACGGCAGAAGCATGGTTTGGTTCAAAGCTGCATGATGTGAACATGGTATGATGAAGTGACAATGGGAGTCACGGAATCACAGCACCTTGCATGACACCACTGTCATGTCATGAAAATTCCCCACCTACTCTCCTCTCCTGCTAAATCCGAGTCACCATTGAGACGCCTCAAAAGCACCTTGCATGACACTTCTGTCATGTCATGGAAATGCCACACCTACTCCCCTCCCTTCCAACCCCCCTTCTCCATCAGAGCTGGCTGCTGCAGGTGTGGAGGTGACAGTGGGAGGCCGGACCTTGGTACAGCAAAGGGCATGGCACAAGTGTTACAGAAATGCCACACCTACCTAATCCCCACCACTCCTCTCCCCTTCTCTTTCCCCTTCAGAGCTGCTGCCGGAAATGCAGGTGTGGAGGTGACAGTAGGCGGGCGGACCTTTGGCACAGCCTCGGGCATGGCACCAAGGGCCAGGCTGGCAATATACAAGGCGCTGTGGATGATGTATGGGGTGAAGGGAAAAGGAGCGACTTCTGACCTCATTGCTGCTGCGGAGAAGGCTGTAGCTGATGGTGTGGACGTGATCTCGTGCTCGTGGGGAGGTCTTGCCCTGTACTTTCAAGACCTGCCGTACCTGCGAGGGCTCAAGGTATGTGCACCGACCCTACAGCGCAGTGTGGGGTCAGGCTGGCAGTGTACAAGGCGCTGTGGGTCACTGAAGAGTATATAGGCTGGCTGGCGATTTACAATGCACTGTGGATTATTGACGAGAATCCGGGGAGAGGAGCGAATTCTGACCTTATTACTGCTGCAGAGAAGGCTATAGCTGATGGGGTGGACGTGATCTCCTGCTCGTGGGGAGGCCTTGCCATGTACTTCCAAGACTTGGCGTACCTGCAAGGGCTCAAGGTGAGAATCTAGGGTTACGTAGCAGCATTGGCAGCAGCGGCCTGTGCAAGGCTCTGATGCCTCCCAATCTACCAGGATGGATGGTCATAACCCATTAGCATTCTCATGCCTCCCATTCTCACCATCCAATTCTCGCCCTCCCATTCCCACCCTCCCATTCCCACCCTCCCATTCTCACCCTCTCATTCTCGCCCTCCCAATCTCACCCTCTATTCTCAACCTCCTATGTTAACTCCCCCTTTCTATTCTAACCCTCCCATTCTCACCCTCCCATTCTCACCCCCCCATTCGCACCCTCCCGTTCTCACCCTCCCATTCCCATCCTCCCATTCTCCCCCTCCCATTCCCACCCTCCCATTCTCACCCTCCCATTCTCACCCCTCTATATTGACCCTCCCTTTCTATTCTAACCCTCCCATTCTCGCCCTCCATATCCTCACCTTTCCAACTTCCAGGCCGGGGTGATCACAGCCTTTGCAGCCGGAAACGCGGGCCGGCTTAACCCCATGAGCATGCAGGGCACTCTTTGGAATGCGGGGCACCCTCCCATCCTCACCCTCCCATCCTCACCCTCCCATCCTCACCTGTCCAACTTCCAGGCCGGGGTGGTCACGGCCTTTGCAGCCGGCAACAAGGGTCAACCCAAACGCATGAACATGCAGGGCACTCTTTCGAGTGCGTCTCCCTTCTATCTCACAGTGGGAGCAAGGTACAGATGGAGTGGGAAAGAAGAGGAGGTGGGGGGGGAGGGGGGGGGATGGGAGGATGGTGGTGTGTTTTGAGCAGACTTAAATCACAGCGGGCAACAGGGGTCAGCCTAACCCATGAATGCAGGGAACTCTTTGGAATGCCTCTCCCTTTATGCCTCACAGTGGGAGCAAGGTACGGCTGGATTGTGGGTGGGGGAAACGCGGGGAGGGGAGGGAGAGGCGGGGAGTGGTGAGAAGGGGAGCATGTGGGGCACTCTTTCTAATGCCTCTCCTTCTACCTCACAGTGGGTGCAAGTTTCGGTTGGAGTGAGGTGAAACCACCTTCACAGCACGCAGCTAGAACATCAAGTTGAATCAACACAACCTCTCACCCCCACCCTTCATCTCCCTTTGCCTCACCCCCACTCTTCACATTCCCCACCCACCCCCCCCCCCCCCCCCCCCACCACTGCCTTCCCTTTCATCACCATGGGGAGGGAGTACACGGCATGGCTGTGCTCACCCTGGGCGATAAAACCACCTTTCTCCCAACCTTCCCCTACCCCCTGACCACCTACCAATGCCCTCCCCCCCACCTCAGCACCATGGGGTGGGCATGGGAGTACACGGTGGTTCCCATAGTACATGGCAAGGGAACCACCTTCCTCCGAGCCTCCCATCCTCCCCTCATCAAGCCCCCCACCCATCCCCACCGCCCACCACTGCTTCCCACCACAGCACTATGGGGAGGGAGTACACGGCGGTGCTGACTCTGGGCAATGGAACCACTTCCCTCTCCACCTGCCCATCCACCCCCACCGCGCACCACCACTCCCCACTGCTCCCCACCGCAGCACCATGGGGCGGGATTACACGGCAGTGCTCACCCTGGGCAATGGAACCACCTTCACAGGGCGCAGCTTCGGCGGCACCGCTGCCACGGCTGCACCTCTGCCCCTCGTGCTCGCTGGGGATTACACCACTGTGGGCCTCCCAGACGATGTGAGCTTGAACGGGTTTTAAGATGCGTCTTGGCTTCGTTTGCATGGATGGCCGGTGTGTCTCCTTGTGGTGAGTCACAGCGTCTCAAAGTGCTCTTGAGTTGACTCAGAATGTGTCGTGTGCCATTGTAACGAGATGACTTTGAGTCAACTCATTTGTTCTTGTGGCGAGGAGGGTGAGGTGAACTTTGAGGGCATTTGAGAAGTCCCAGCATCTAATCGGTGTTTTGAGTCGACTCAGAATTCTAATTGGTGGCGCCAGACAAACACGCTGCCACCTCTGCCCCCTCGTGACTTTTGAGTCGACTCAAGAGTCTTATCGGTGGTACCACACCGTGCCTTCTCCACCTTCCTTGCCGCCACCAAGTGTCACAGTGCTACAGCATAGCCCTTAGCGTGAACTCAAGTCGCGGGCAAAAAAACTCCTCGTGTGCACCATGCAGGCTTTAAAGTCGACTCAAGAGCCACCGTGCCTTCTCCACCTCCATCCCACCAGGCCCACATGTGCTAAAGAGAGTAGTTAGACGCCACTCAAGTCGAGTTAACTTCAGAGTCGACTCAAAGTCAAGCCACCGTGCCTTCTCCACCTCCCTTCCCGCCACCCCACCAGGCCTACCGGTGCTACAGAGAGAATCTAGATGCCACTCAAGTCGCCGGCAAGTTCCTCGTGTGTACCCTATTTGAACGCACCCTGTCCGAGGTCGTTGCAGACGTGGACGCACTGGGAGCAGCTGCTGTACTCGTTTTAAATGCGACGGCAAAGCGCGAATCGCAGTACCGCATCCCGTTCTCAAAGACCCCGGCCATATTCTTAGAGAAAAGGCATCGGTGGATTATTGAGGATTATATCAGAGCCGCAAGCAGGTGAGTACCTATTTATCGTTTTAAACGTGAAAGCAAAATGCAAAATGCAGTACCTCATCCCCTTCTCAAGGGACCTGACCATCTGCGAGTCGTATCCCTTCACACAGACCCAGACCAAATTTATAGATTTATTGCATTTGTGGACCATTAAGAGACATACCAGTGCCGAAAGCAGGTGAGGACCGAGTTTGTATTTCTCTCTGCCATTGAACTTACTCTGAATGCCCTTTACCAAAAAAAAAAAAAAAACATTTCATCTTCATCAAATATTTGTCTCTTCTGATATTCAGTCCTTCTCAACCCCCATCAACAAGCCCATGCCATGAGCCTCTCGTCTCCCCAAATCCCCTCCAATCTTCCTCCTCTTTACCCCCATCCCTTCCCTCCTCTCTTGTGCCTCTCTTTCCTCCTCTCAAACCTCCTCTCTTCACCCCTCTCCTCCTTCCGTTCCCGTGATTGCATCCCACTTCCCTTCCTTCCCCTCCACTCCCACCCTACATTGCCTACTGTTCGACAAACTCTCTTTCTCTTCCCCCTGCCCCATTGTCTCTTGCCCCTTAGCCCTTCCCTTTCCCTTCCCCCTTCCACTTCCCCTCCCCTTTTCCCATTCCCACCCCTCGTCAATGCAGCCCCACAGCCACGCTTTCTGCTTTCAACGTCTCCTACTCCACTTATCACTCCCTCCCCCTTTCCACCTTCCCTTTTTCCCCATCCCCTCCCCTTCATGTCAATGCAGCCCCACTGCAACACTTTCCGCTTTCACTGTCTCCTATGCTACCAATGCCCCCCAAGTCGCTTACTTCTCTTCCACTGGCCCGCCGCGCAGCCCACTCTACCCTCCCGCGCTTCTAATCCGCGACTATCCCACTAACGACATCCTTAAACCTGACGTCGTTGGGCCGGGGTTCCAACTATGGGCAGCAGGTCCGGGTAAATCAGCTGCCACCGCTGCGACCGACCCGCCGGAGTTTGGTTACAAGTCCGGGACGTCAATGTCAACGGCACATTTGGCGGGGATCATGGCGCTGATCGTGCAGAACAAGCCGAGCTGGTCCCCCTCGCAGGTGATTTCTGCGATAACTACGACGGCGTACACAAAGAATAAAAACGGGCAGCCGATTAAACGGGCAGATGAAAAAAACACGAATGGGTGGGACTATGGAGGAGGACATGTGGATCCCACACGCGTCTTGGATCCTGGGCTCACGTTTCATGCAGCTCACAAGCACTTCGTGAATTTCCTTATGATGAGGGATCCGATAAGAGCGAAGAAGTGATTCTGGCGCATGGGAAAGGCGCATCCGATTCTACCCTGGAACCTCAACCGCGCCTCAATAGCGGTTACTCGACTGCATGGCGTTACAGTAGTTTACCGCCGAATGAAGAACGTCTTCAACTTACCATCTACGTATAGCGTAAAAGTGGTCCCTCCGCCTGGATTTTCCGTGAGGGTTTGGCCCAAGAAGATCACCATTCTTCCCGGAAAGATGAGGGGTTTTAAGGTCACAATTACCAGGTTCTTGCCTTTAGATGTATTTAGGTTCGGAACAATCATATGGACTGACCAATATGGGCATTCTGTGCCGGTGCAGCTCGTGGTTAGGTCTCCCGTTTTGCCGTGATTTTCATCATAATTGCACAATTATAGCCTTAGTGGCATGTCTCAGGCGAAATACCTGGCCAGTGGAGATGTCAATGATATACATGTCTAACTGCGTTGCAAGGTTTCAAGGTAATGGAAAGCTTAGAAATACCAGCCAGTTAAATAGAGTAAAGAAACACGAAGATATATGAATCCCAACAATAGACATGCGTTGAAACAATTTATACCATACTAAGATGTTAACACACACGGGTGAGAATCCCAGCAATATTGGATTTGGGAGGTGCTAACGCCAATCCAATCCAAAAATGCTCTACATTACTATATCCTGGAGGTGAAGTACTAAAATCCAATATTCCTATCGAAGTACCACCTCTCTAACGGGTGAAACGTTTGGCTATTTTGGTTTTCTCTCACATGCCAATGTGCTCAAGGTTCTCTCTCAAGTGGGTGGGTGACATCCGGAAGGTGAGAATGCACTGAGTAGATTGCAACCTCATATCTGCGAGCTGCTTTCTGGACAATTGCTAAGCCATATTAATATGCATGGTGAACTGGTGAATAACGAAACTATGCGCAATGGAAACAGGGTATTCATGATCGGACCCTCACTCATCTACCGTGATACCCCGGGTATAAATGAGCGAGCGCTTTTACCGCATTCCCCGCATATAGGACATGAGTGACTTTCTTGAGATTCATGAAAAAAGGTACGGTAGACATTATAACGACATGGGTTTTATAAGACCCCGGACTCTTAGAAACTAGGAGCCTTAGGGACTAACGAGAATGTGTTGATTAGGTCAAGGGAGGGGGATACAACCAAAGTGTCAATAAATTTTTGTGCCCCCTAACATGCAACTCACTAGAGCATATCTATATCTACAAACATAGTTTGACACACCCTCATAGGCTAAGTGAGGGCCATCAAAACAAGCATGACATGCATGTGGTGGTCACAAGTGTTAGAATCGGTAGCTTAGTAGGAAGGAATGATTGCATTAGGTCATGAGGGGAGTACAAGTATAATGTCGAGAGTCATCTTGTACCCCCTAAGGCTAAATCCACTACAGCCTAAGTAATCATAAGCACATATGTTTTGACACACCCCCATAGGCGAAGTGGAGGATAGCCATGGCAAGCAATGGTCATAAGACCAGTCAAGAGAATAAACAAATCAAAGCAAAGCTCAGGGTGGATCTCAAGATCACCACGCACTCTGAGCACTAGCAAGCGGCCACAAGGCCAGTTCAAGAGGTTACATAAGATATATAGGTGCGAGTACAAGCAGAGAAAGGCTACGGCAGATGAGCAAAAAACTCAACAAGCCACCGCCTCACCCTCCCCCCACAGTGGCACGTGCGGCCGTGAGAGAGAGGAGGAGGCGTGGCGACATTTGCTGCAGTTGTGTCACCCACCACCCACATCCCCTGAGCCTCCCCACCACTTCACACTCCCCCCCACAGCAGCAGGTGCGGCTGTGAGAGAGAGGAGGCAGGCTGGCGCTGTAGGTGCAACCTCCCCCTCACCCCCTCCCCTCCCCTCCCCCCCCCTCCCACCCAAACTACTGCACGTGCAGCAGGGAGAGGGAGGAGAAGGGGGGGGGGGGGTGGGACGGGGTAGGGGCTGTGCATGGGGCTGCAGATGCGCGTGCAGAGGGCAGCAGGGCACACGGGGCGCACAGGACAGCAGGGCAGCAAGGCGCGCGGGGTGCACAGGACAACAGGGCGCGCGTGGCGCGCAGTGCTGCAGGGCGTGCAGGGCGCGCAGGGCAGCAGGGCAGCAGGACAGCAGGGCGCGCGAGGCGCAGAGGGCTGCAGGGCGCGCGGGGCGCGCAGGACAGCAGGGCGCGCGTGGCACGCAGGGCTGCAGGGCGCGCGGGGTGCGCAGGGCAGCAGGACAGCAGGGCGCGCAGGGCTGCAGGGCGCGCGGGGCGCACAGGGCAGCAGGGCAGCAGGGCGCGCGGGGCGCAGCAGGGCTGCAGGGCGCACGGGGCGCACAGGGCAGCAGGGCAGCAAGGCGCACAGGGCTGCAGGGCAGCAGGGCGCGCGGGGCGCGCGGGGCGCACAGGGCTGCAGGGCGCGCGGGGCGCACAGGGCTGCAGGGCGCGCGGGGCGCGCAGGACAGCAGGGCACGCGTGGCGCGCAGCGCAGGGCGCGCAGGGCAGCAGGACAGCAGGGCGCGCGGGGCGCGCAGGGCTGCAGGGCGCGCGGGGCGCACAGGGCAGCAGGGCAGCAGGGCGCGCGGGGCGCACAGGGCTGCAGATCCCCTCCCCCCCACTGCTGCACCCGCAGCAGGGGGATGGAGGAGAAGGGGGGGGGGGGGGGGGGCGGTGGGGGGCTGGTGCTGCAGATCCCCTCCCCCCCCCTTGCTGCACCCGCAGCAGGGGGATGGAGGAGAAGGGGGGGGGCTGGGGGGGGCTGGTGTTGCAGATCCCCTCTGAGGAGAAAAACTCTACAACGGTGGTGAGCTAGACTACGAGGTTGGCACGAACTACTAGAAGTGATGGTAGCTTTGGCTTGTTCGTTAGTGCTTGTGCAATCACGGGAGAAATCGGCAAGAGTTTCACTAGCAAAGTTGGAATTACAGAAAGATTGATCAAGCGATAACAAGAGTGACTACATTAGGCACCTAGCAACTCTGCAGCTAGCCTGGTCGACAGACAGCACAGCATGGTCGACCGCGTGCCAGCGTTGCGTAGTGGAGCCATGCCAGCATTGCAAAAGGGCGACCTGCCAACACAGCAAGTCGACGGTGTGCCAACGCTGCAGCAGCGCGGCTGTCCAGCGTTGCCCCGTAGAAGACAGTCGTGCGCACGCTCGCAGGTGCGCGCAGACGATTGGCCCGACTTGCACCGTTGTGCATCCGTCGGCTATTGTCTGTGCGTGATGAGCCACATCGACTTCGGGATACCAACCCGAAGTCGCCTTCGCCATCGCGACCTCGACGACGTTCGCGTGCCTCCGCAAAACTCGTCGAGCAGGTTACCCGGTCGATTTGGACAAGGCGAGGTGCCTCTGGTCGACGGCCGGGTCCCCCTGGTCGATCACAGCTCCCGTCGAGCTACCCCCTGGTCGAAGGACCCCTTCCGTCGACCAGAACTGTCAGTTGCAGCTGTCGAGCTCCCTGGTCGACAGCAATACCACAGCGGTCCCCTGCAGCTCGACGAAACGTGTTGAGCAGCTCCCCATTTTCTGTGGTCGTTCGTGGTTCAGTACGCTGCGCATCAGATCAACCTTCAGCCTCGTGTCTCCTTTCCGGAGACCACACCTACTCTGCGGTGGACGGGGAAGGTTGGCGATGCGTCAGTGTTCCGTGTCTGGGGATCTTGAGCTTTTGTCCGCGATCCTTCCGCGGACAAGTTGTCCTCCTGTGCCGTTCCCTACGTCTTCCTTGGCTTCCCCCCTGAAGCACCTGGGTGGCTGTTTTACCACCCCACCTCGCGTCGTGTTTTGTCCTCTCACGTTTGACGAGTCGGTATCTTACTATTGTCTCTTTCCCTACCGCACTGCCCCTCTCCCCCCCCCGCCGCTTTTCCTAGCACCAGGTGCTCCTCCGGTAGACCCCCTCCCCCCTCAGGGTCCTGCCCCCTCAGGTGTGTCTCAGGTAGACCCTGTCGAGCTTGTCGAGGTAGCTGTCGACTCTGGTGCTGCTAGGGTTGCTGAGCCTGCGGGTGCGGGGCCTGGGGGTGCTGAGCCTGGGGGTGCTGAGCCTGGGATTGCTGAGTCTGAGGGTGCGGAGCCTGGGGGTGCTGAGCCTGCGCGTGTGGAGCCTAGGGGTGCTGAGCCTTGGGGTGCTGAGTCTAGGGGTGCTGAGCCTGGGGGTGCTGACCCTGAGCGTGCTGCGTCTGGAGGTCCTCCGAGCGTCCAGTCTCGGCGGGAGCCCCTCTCTCCGCAGCAGCTTCGTGAGTGGTACGCTCGGCGCTGTCGCCGTGCTCCTTGAGCTACTGGGCCTGCTGCTGGAGGTGCTGATGGTGCTGGAGCTACTGGAGCCGCTGCTGGTCCTGGAGGTGCTGGTGCTGGAGGCGCTGGTGCTGTTGGAGGTCCTGCTAGTGTTGGAGCTGCTGGAGGTGCTGGAGCAGCTGGTCCCGGAGGTGCTCGTACTGGACGTACTGGAGCTGCTGGGGCTGGTGGTGCTGCAGGAGTTGGAGCTCGAGGTGTTGGAGCTGGTGCTCCTGAAGGTGCTGCTGGAGCTGGAGCCGTTGGAGGTCCTGGAGCTGGTGGTGCTGCTGGAGTTGTCGCTGGAGACCCTGGAGCTGAGTGTACTGGTGCTGTCTCTGCTGTTTCTGGAGGCGCTGCGCGGCCGCGGCCGTACTACGTTCCGCTCCTTCAGTAGGTTCTTAGTCTCCCGCCTTCTACTGGTCCTGCTCCTCCCTTACTGAGTCCACCGCCTATCCAGTCACAGTCGCAGTTACTGCCAGCCTCTCCACAGCCTGGTCCTTCTCCTTACTCTGGACCGACTAGAGGTCTTACGCAGTGTCGTGCGTCTGCGTCTCGTCCTGCGTTGCCTGAGTCTCGTCCTGTGTCGCCTGCTCGTGCTGTTCGCACCGGTCGTCGTGATCTGCGTCCGCGTCCTCCTCCTGTCCCCGGCACTCACTCTATGACTCTGCGTCCGTCCACTACTCCACAGAGTGTCCCTCTACCGTCTCCTCCTGAGTCCTCTCTTTCTGCACGTGCTGACCCGGAGTCTGACTCCCTTCGTGCTGCTAGTCCTACTCTCACGCGTCTCCTGGCCACTGTTGTCATTGACCCCTCCTTTGAGTTCACTGCTGCGTTTGCCTTAGTTACTGAGCTTGTCGACTTTGCTGCTCACTGTCGCCTAGACTACGCTACTAGTCTTGTTGCTGACTCTGCGTCTGTTTCTGTCTGTCCTCCGTCCGTCGAGGGTGAGTGTGCTCTTGGCACGGACGTCCTTGAGGACAGACAGGAGGAGTTTGAGTGCTTTGCTGCTGCTTCACCTCATCTCGTGTCCATGCTGCTTGCCCCTGAGGGAGAACCGGATGCACCAGACATCCCGACCCCGCGCTCTTACGCAGAGGCGATAGAGGGTCCCTACTCCTCTCAGTGGCAGGCAGCAATGGACATAGAGATGGCTTCCTAGAAGTCCACAGGCACCTACGTCGATGAGGTTCCCCCGCCTGGGGCGAACATCGTCAGTGGCATGTGGATTTTCAGAGTGAAGCGGCCGCCGGGTTCTCCGCCTGTCTTCAAGGCGCGTTACGTTGCACGAGCTGACAGGGAGTTGACTTCTTCCATACCTTCTCCCCTACCCCGAAGATGACCACTCTTTGGGTGCTGCTGCACGACGCCGCTCAGCGTGACTACGAGCTACACTCGCTTGGCTGTGCCGCCCACCTGGCTTCACTGGGTCGTTTTCTGCTGGTACCCAGTGGAGCCTCCGGCGGCCAGTCTACAGTCTCCGCCAGGCACCCCGTGAGTGGCACGACACTTTGAGGACGACTCTTGCTGCTCTTGGCTTCGCTCCTTCCACTGCTGACCCGTCGCTGTTTCTATGCACCGACGCCACTCTGCCGCCGTTCTACGTTCTTGTGTACGTAGACGACTTGGTCTTTGCTACTGCTGACACTGAGGCACTCGCCCATGTGAAGTCGGAGCTGCAGAAGAAACACACGTGCACGGACCTGGGTGAGCTGACAAGCTATCTTGGCTTGCAGATCTCCCGGGACAGAGCACAGCGCACCATTACCTTGACTCAGTCACACATGGTGCAGCAGGTCCTTCAGCGCTTCGGCTTCACGTACTCCTCGCCACAGTCCACTCCTCTGCCTACCGGTCACTCGCTCTCAGCTCCACCTTCGGACGAGTCCGTAGAGCCAAGTGGCCCGTATCCAGAGCTTGTGGGCTGCCTCATGTACCTGATGACTTGCACATGACCTGACCTCGCATACCCTCTCAGCCTTCTGGCTCGCTACGTGGCTCCCGGTAGGCACCGAAAGGTGCACTAGGATGCTGCGAAGAGGGTTTTGCGCTACTTGTGCATTACGTCGGGCATGGGGCTAGTGCTTGGAGGACGGGCTCGAGTTGTCCTCACTGGTCACGAAGACGCCTCCTGGGTTGACGACTTGGCTACGCAGTGGTCTGTCACAATGAAAGGAAGGAATGAATGGAACAGAAAAGAGGGGTTTCACTAGCAGACAGTTGAGTACATATAGGAAACCCTAAATTGGGCTGTACTCGCTATGGAGTACCCCACTGCAGGCTAGACAGATATAACATTCTGACACACCCCCATAGCCAAAGTGGGGTGTAATCAGCACAATTAGCAAGGCAAAGCAAGCTCAGGGTGGATCACGACGTCACCACACATTCTGAGCACAAGTACAAGGCCACAAGGCCAGTTCACATGCAGAGTTATATCGTTCACAAATATAAGCAAAGCTAGAGGCAGTCACAGACGGTAAGTGAGGAGGAGGAGGGACTGTGAGAGGAGTGGAGATAGGAGGCGACGGGTGAAGCCGCAGCTACACGGGTAACAGGAGCGGCGCGCACGGTGGCTACCGGAGCAACGGTCCTGGACTACAGGAGTAACTGGCTCTGCGGCTAACTCTGAGCGGCAGGAGCAACGCACCCACGGGCGACTGGCGCAGCAGGCTCGCTGGGCTACCAGAGATTGTAGCCTCCGGACTACTAGCGTTGCTGGCGACACGACGACTGCCTCCGCCCAACCTCCCCTTAACTGTCCCAAAACTCCCGTTCACACCCCCTGCTGCACCCCTAGCTTCACTCCCATGACACACCCCCCTAGTACCACTCCTTCGGCTCCTACACATCCACCCCCCTCAGCGGCAGCTGCAGCAGTGGGAGATAGAGGAGGATGAGGAGCAAGGGACAAAACACACACCCGCCACCCCACAGGAGCACGTGGACTAGAGGCGGCAGGGGTGGCTCGCAGGCTGCAGGAGGGGGGTAGCGCGCGGGCCCCTGAGGGCGCCACAACGGACGACGGGAGGGGGGGGGGGGGGGGGGGGGGGGGGGGGAGGGGGGGGGGGGTGGGGGGCGTGTGCGGGCCCCCGAGGGCGCCACGACGGGCGACGGGAGGGGGCTGCTCGCGGGATTCCGAGGGCGCCACGACGGGCGACAGGAGGGGGGCGACGCGCGGCCCCCGAGGGCGCCACGACGGGTGACGGGAGGGGGCCGCTCGCGGGCCCCCGAGGGCGCCACGACGGGCGACAGGAGGGGGGGCGACGCGCGGCCCCCAAGGGCGCCACGACGGGCGACGAGCGGGGGCGAAGCGCGGTTCCCCAGGGCGCTGTGACGGGCGACGAGAGGGGGGGGGGGGGACGTGCGGCCCCTGGGGCGCCGCGACAGGCGACGAAACTGCCGCACGCCTCGGGGCGCGCGACGGGCAAGGTACCGTCGCGCGCCACGGGGCGCACGACGGGCAGGGCAGGTCGTCGCGCGGCCACCTGGGCGGCGCGACGGACAAAAAACCGCCGCGCGCTCGGGGCGCGCGG